TATGTTCTTTTTTTTTTTTTTTTCCATTAGATGAGTCCTTTTGTGATTATATTGTGGGCTCTCTGTTGTTACAAAATTTATCTCTGAAAAAAAAAGAAAAAAAAAAAGAAGACAATTTCAATATGTTGAAATTTGTTCCATTTGCCTAAATTTTACTAACAAAAAAATCATCCGTATATATATTTTTTTAAGGAAAATTTACCCATAAATCTTATTTTCTAAAAAGTTGAACCATTTAGTCCTAAAAGTTTTTTTATGCACCATTTAGTCCCATTTTATTTTTCAAATTGTTTATTTAATTTTGATTATTTCACAAGTTACAATAGTACCCTTTTGTGGAATGTTTGTTTCCTAAAAATCTGTAACATCATAAAAACTAGTCTTTTTTTTACATCACAACATCATCATCAAAACAACATCAAACATCATCATCAAAACATAATTAAAACATCAACAACATCAAACATCATCATCAAAACATAATTAAAACATCAACAACATCAAACATCATCATCAAAACATAATTAAAACATCAACAACATCAAACATCATCATCAAAACATAATTAAAACATCAACAACATCAAACATCATCATCAAAACATAATTAAAACATCAACAACATCAAACATCATCATCAAAACATAATTAAAACATCAACAACATCAAACATCATCATCAAAACATAATTAAAACATCAACAACATCAAACATCATCATCAAAACATAATTAAAACATCAACAACATCAAACATCATCATCAAAACATAATTAAAACATCAACAACATCAAACATCATCATCAAAACATAATTAAAACATCAACAACATCAAACATCATCATCAAAACATAATTAAAACATCAACAACATCAAACATCATCATCAAAACATAATTAAAACATCAACAACATCAAACATCATCATCAAAACATAATTAAAACATCAACAACATCAAACATCATCATCAAAACATAATTAAAACATCAACAACATCAAACATCATCATCAAAACATAATTAAAACATCAACAACATCAAACATCATCATCAAAACATAATTAAAACATCAACAACATCAAACATCATCATCAAAACATAATTAAAACATCAACAACATCAAACATCATCATCAAAACATAATTAAAACATCAACAACATCAAACATCATCATCAAAACATAATTAAAACATCAACAACATCAAACATCATCATCAAAACATAATTAAAACATCAACAACATCAAACATCATCATCAAAACATAATTAAAACATCAACAACATCAAACATCATCATCAAAACATAATTAAAACATCAACAACATCAAACATCATCATCAAAACATAATTAAAACATCAACAACATCAAACATCATCATCAAAACGTAATTAAAACATCAACAACATGAAACATTAAAACACCAACAAACATCAACCATGAACAAAACATCAACAACACTGCCTAATCATGATTCACCGACTATCTAGCTCCGATTATGGTCTCCATTCCTAAGTCTTAGAGCTTTTCTTCCAACTCTCTCTAGGGTTTTCACTTTCCTGCACCAAATTCTCTCTCTCTCTCTCTCTCTCTCTCTCTCATGTACGTATAATCTTTATTCTTTCTCTAGACCTCAACAATCTCTGCCTAAAAATTAGGGTTTCTGTGGTGTTGCTTTCGATTCAATCCGATCCGATCTTCCATTCTCTTCGGATGAGAAATCTCGAAGAACTCACATTCGAAATCACTCACTCTATATCCAACTTCGAGTTTTCTGGCCAAAATCAACAGCCACGATGGTCACGGCCTTTCTCTCCCCTCATCTCCTTCCTCGGGGTGCCATGGATTCTGGCGCGACGTTGCTCTAGCGGTCCCTTCAGCGCTGTTCGTGCTCTACTTGGCGAGTCAACGCGGTTTATGTGTTTCTTGCAGAGGAGGACGATCCGCCAAAAACTGTCTAGGGTTTGGAGCTTCTCTTTGGGGTTTGTGGTGTTGATTCGGAGTCCACAACAATGGCAATCGGACAAATTGGGTAGATCTCTGGTTTTCTTATGGAACCAATCGGAAGATGAGTCCGATGACAGAGCCGAATCGGACGATGTAGCCGCGGCCGCGGTGGTGGAGCCCTGTTTTGGCTACGGATTGGCAAGGAATCGCTTCCGAGAAGATGGGGTTTTGGTGAGATCTTCGCCTTTGCCTTTGCGTTTGATTAGTGGTTGTTGATCTCGCCGTAGACATCGAAGTGGTCTCTGAGGGAGAATAATGTTTGATGAATCATGTTGGAGAATAATGTTGAAGAATAATGTTTGATGAATAATATTTAATGTTGAAGAATAATGTTTGATGAATAATCTTTGATGTTGAAGCATAATGTTTGATGAATAATGTTGAATATGTAGTTGATGTTGTGATGTTGAAGAATAATGTTCAAGATGCAATTGATGTTGGAGAATAATGTTTGATGAATCATGTTGGAGAATGATGTTGAAGAATAATGTTTGATGAATAATGCTGAAGTTGTAGTTAATGTTTGTGATGTTTGATAACATTGGGAAATCATAAAAAAAGCCTATAGTAAGCTTTTTGGGCTATAAAAAAGCTTCTTGTTTGATGTATATGCCCTCTATGGTCAATTTCTCTATAATGGGACCTTTCAGTCTATAAGAAAACTTTTAGGACTAAACAGTGTATAAGTTATTAATTTGGGATTTATTGGTACATCACCCTTAATTTTTTGTATTTTTTGTTTAGTAAAAATCATTATTTTATTTTTTTCTAGAATTTTTTTATTTTATTTTTATTTTTTACACGTTGGGCATTTTTTTTGAACATTAATATTTAATGTTTTTGTATTTTTTTATTTGTTTTATTATTTTATATAAAAATAATTTAACAATCACTAAATCAACAACTATCATCAAAATAAACACAATTTTACTTAATCCCCTCATTAACAATTCTCTCACTAGTAATCCCCTCATTATGAATTCCCTCAATTCTACTTCTGAAAACAAACAAGACCTCAAATCTTGAGGATTAGATAAATGTCGTTACCTAAGTTTGATTATTAATAAACATAGAATTGAACTATCAAAGTAGGTTGGCAAGAGTTTAGTAGCATTTTTTTTTTAAACAAGTACGCAAAAGATAAAATAAGTTAAATAAGTCAATAAAATAAAGACATATTTTGACAATTGGGTTAAAATAAAATAAAAAAACTAATTTTTTTGATTTTTTTTTGTCACATTATCTCTTTACTTTTTTATACATTTTTTCAAAAAAAAAATAGTGAAAAAAAAATGAAAAAATTAACTTTTAACTTACTTCCCAAAATAGATTAAAATATCACGTCTAAACCATAATCATTTCATTTTTTCTCACAACCATTACATTCAAATCCAAAAAAAATCAAAAATATATTCTCAAACAGAGCTAATTTAGCAAAAAAAACTAAAAAGTTAAAGTTAAATTAGCTCTTCCCAAACGAAATCTTAAAAATAGTTTATAATATAAATTTAAAGTTGCTATAATGCGAATGACACTCAAAATGAATGTAATTTATAGATATATTTTCGAACCATGTGGTATTGTAGTATACGTACTCACAGAAAATAAATAAATAAGTTTGTGGGTAAAATGGTAAGTATTTATAATTCGGAGAAAATTACATTCACCATGTTTGAGGTTTGGAGAAAATATAATTAGCTCCAGGTTTTTTTACATAATTACACTAACCTTCCTTGGGGTTTTAATTTCTATAACAATTGGTACATTTTCACTAGTAATTTATGAGTTGTATGAATGAAAAAAATAATATTGTTGTGTTTTTATTACTAAAATGTATTTCTCTTTATTTATTTATATGTTTATCTACCATTTACATTAGGTTTGGGCTTTGGGGTATGCTCACTCAAAGTCTCAAATTTAACTCCCATTAGGTGCCTGTAAGCTCTATCCGAAATTTATCCAATCCATGTAAAAAAAGCTCTCTCGAAATCAGTTGAGTTGTGCGTGAATTGATTCGAATATCCGGTTATCCAAAAAAAAAGAAGGTTTGATGACTTCAATGAATTATTGAACGTTAGTGTAATTTGTGAGATTTGTGTTATTCAATGTAATTTTTTTTTTGGTTGCCATAATGCTAGAAATATTAATTATTGTATCAACTAACACATTAATTAAGATATAAGATATACATGTGGGTTCCACCACTTAACATAGAATTACCTAATATTATATGTCGTTGGTGTGTTAGTTGGTACACTAATTAACGTTTCTAACATTATCTCACCTTGTTTGGTTTAAAAAAATTGAACCCACTTTTTAAAAAATTAAAATTTTTATTTAAATGTTTTTTTAATAACATTTTTTAATATTTTAATTTTTTAGATACACCTAACCTAGATACACTTAAAAAGTATAATATTTATGTTTTTTTATTAAAAAATTCATCAAATACAAAAAATATAAAAATTTAGTATATTTTCATATTCTTGTGTATTTATTAAAATTTTAAAATATTTTTCACAAATATTTTATTTTTAAAGTGCATCTAAGTTATGTGTATTTAGAAGGTAAAAAAATTATCTAAAATATTAAAAAAATTACTAAAAATAAAAATATGTTCAAAATACAAAATTTAATTTTAAAAAAATTGAATTTAGAAAATTAAAATTAAACACATTGAATAGCATTTTGCCTGTGGATTGTATGGTGTGCTTGTATCCGGGTCTTCTTCTATACTCCACAAAAGGAGTTAATTTTTGTACATACTTTATAGGTATAAATCCTTGGTCCCTAAATCTCTCGTCATTCTGTTCTGAAATACTTTCTGTTAGTATAAATTTTAAGACACAAGAATCTCATTTTACAATTTACTTTTTAAATCATTCTAGGCTAGATGAGCCTTGAAAAGTAAAAATGATTTTTTTTTTAATTTGAATTTTTTTTATTTGTAGTGAAACTTTTTAAACCTCTATAATTTTTTACTTTTTGGGTTCATTTAGTCAAGAATGATTTTTAAATTATTTTATTTTATTTTATTTTTTGTTAAAATCTATATAACAAGGGAAGGGGGTTTTAGAAGCTTGATGGGACTTTTGTCTAGGTGGATGGCTAATATTGTTTGGTTTTAAGAATGGAGGGCGGAGATTAAAATCTAAAATAAGTTTACTAAAGATGAAAAATATCTAAAAATATTTTTTTTTATAGTTTTTTTCTTCAAAAGATGAAACAGAATGAGCAAAAACAAAGGGAAATTTTATGTACCATATTACGCTTAGTTAGTTAGGAAAAAAAGACTTTATGGAATTAAAGTATAAATACATGGGACTAACTAAGTTATAATTTTCTTTGGTGGACTTATTGAGTTAGAACACCTCTAAATGAGATTTATCAATAAAAAAAATCCTATAATTACCTGTTAGAAATTTTACAAGTAGGATGTGAAATAATGAAATGAAAATTTAATAAGATAGTGATGGTTTAGTTTTAATTTATATAAATGATTTTGAGACATAAATTTTAGGGGTAAATTATACTGATATTCTCTGAGATTTGATCTGATTACATCTCACTCCTTGATGTTATGGAAATTACATTCTTACCATTGCAGTTAACAGTCTCAATTCACAAACCCCTGCTTATATAAAAGGTAACAACTCCTAGTAGAAAATCAGAAAAAATTACATTGAAAAAAAAAAAGTAAATAAAAGGAAAAAAAAAAGAAAAAAAAAAGAAGTAAAGCAATGCAAAAAAAAAAAAGAAAAAAAAAGAGAGAGTATGAATTCAATGTTTTTTTGATACCAACGTTGATTCCATCTAAATAATTACAATGACAGAGGGGTCAGCGTAATTTTTCAAATATCAATGGGTGATATGTATTAAATTCAAATATCAGGGGCGCAAGTATAATTTATCATAATTTTTATATTGAAAACTTATCATTATCACAATGATGTGATAATTATATTTTTAAAATATACAAAAGTTAATTATAGCATAAAAAGTAAAATATATTTGAATGAATAAAATTTATTACTGTGGTTCATTTTTAATATATATATATATATAATTATCTATTTATATACATTCTGTGTCTGGTCATATGATCAATTTTTGTGTTTATAGATTTTTTTTCTTTTTTTAAAAAAAAATTATTCATTTTTATTTTTATTTTTATTTTTTGAAGGATTTACGTGTAGGTCATAATAGGTTGACTTATTGTTTAGTAGGTCCTGTGATAATTAACAATATTTTTTATCAAAAGTTATTAAAAAATTCACTAATTGTTAATTTTCAGCAACAATCTGAAAATTTTGTCACAAAAAAGTCACTAATTATAAGTTTTAGCGACAGTTTAAAGAAATCGCCACAAAAAAGTTACTACTAATTTTTAGTTTTCAATGACAATTTGAAAAATTAATAACATCACTAATTATA